GAGGGCGGGGAGACGGCAGACGGAGTTTTGGATCGTGCTGAGCAGCTGCAGCCTCGCAGCCCAGCGTCGGCAGCTTTCCTGTTACTGGAACGTTGTTGCCTCGCCGCCTTCGGCGGAGGTGCGGAGAGAGGGGTTTTAGCGAACTCCTAAGACGAACCCCGAAACTGCTTCCAGCCCTGACCTCAACAACTCGGGGCACAAAACTTCCTTACCCCCGTTCTTCTTCTTTTTAATGTTTTTTAATTGATTTCAGAGAGAAGAAGGGAGAGGGAGAGAGTTGAAACATCAATGATGAGAGAGGCATGGATCGGCTGCCTCCTGCACGCCCCCTACTGGGGATCCAGCCCGCAACCCGGGCCTGTGCCCTGACCGGGAATCAACCTGGATCTCCTGGATGCTAGGTCGGTGCTCAACCACTGAGACGGCGGCAGCCCCTCCCCCCTTTCTTTATGTTCACTGCTTCTACGGACCTCTCCGTCCAAAGTGAATCCCTGACCATTCTCGGTGGACGGTCTGGCTGCTACTAGGCTATTCCGACCCAGCCCATAGCCCTGCACCTCCAGCTCAGCCAGAGCCCAGTCCTTGCCAAGAGAGCGCTTTGAGGTGTGTTCATCCAGAGCAACACTTTCAGGTGCTATTTGCTGCTCTGGGGTCATTCCCAGCGCTAGCATTTTTTTTTTTTTTTCCTTAAAAAGGGGGTGGACGATGCAAACTTTGGGATTTTTTTTTTTTTTTAAAGTGTTGTTGATTCGTGGTATTTGCTATGTTTGAAATATCCCTCAGCCAATTCAGGGCTTAAGTAACTTGTGACTCCCTGGGGCAGGTTTTAAATTGACAGTCAACAATCTTAATTCACGCTTCACTGTTCAGGTTTATATAGAGACTTGGCAAATATGTGAGGCCATTTAAATGAAAATGGGACAATCAGTACAGCTTCCCTCTATTATGCTTGGATACTCGATCATATGAGAACTAAGAAATGACAAATAGAAGTGTCCTTTGTGACCAGCCTTGCTTGAGAGATTTAATCACCTACATGTGGTAGATACATAAAATCTAGTTCTAAGGAATTCTTCACAGTGGTCTGTGCCTGATTGGTCCTGTGACTTGAGACTTTTCTTTCCCTTCCTTGGTTTAGTCTTTATCAAAGGGGTACCGACAGCCCGAAGGGAGTCTCTAGCAATGTGCCAGCCACTCTTCCCTGACAGTCCCCTTTCATCTCCACACTGTCAGCAGCTTGGCTAGAATGTGCGCTTCTCAAACTGGAGGCCCAGCGCTGGGACTCGGTGGTTTTAGCTGACCCCAAACCCAGCATGTATGTGTTGTGACAGAAAAAAAAAAAAGAGCAAATTCTGGTCTTACTGGAAACACAGTGACCAGATAAGATATTAAAGTGTCACTGCCTGACTTAGCATTGATTAGAGCATAATTTAGACTAGCAAGCTGTAGCCACTTTAAGAGAGGTCATAAAAAATTAGAAAACAGGAACAATCAATACAGCTCTCTTTTATGCTTGGATACTCGATCACATGAGAAGGGGTTTGAAATGAAACCACAGAATGCCTGGAGATGAGTACGCGCATGGGGAGGCAAAAAGCCAGTTTTGAATACTCAAGAACTCTTGAGCAGAAGTGAGGGTAGGTGTTTTCTTTGTTGCTCTGCAGAGGATGACAAGTGTTGGCGGAGGATATGTTGCTCAATATCATTTCTTCCAACCAACATTTACCAAGCACCAGCCGTATTATCGATTAACAGCTGGGTGTGAAGTGGGGCGCCTGGAAAAACTGTGAGCTCTGTCCCAGAAATATTCAAGTACAGACTGACTGATTGCCATGGGTGCTCTAGTCTAACGAGTATCCCTGCCCAGGGTGGGAAAATGGGCGAGATGACCTCTTCCAGCTCTTAGGAGCCTCTGAGTCCCTGGACCATGAAGAGTTTCCAGGAGACCTGCAGAGGGGTCAAGGAGTTCTCTCTGGCACAAGTGAGAGTAATATAAATACATTAAGTACATTGTCTCCTGTTCACAAAAATGCAAAGGGAATCCCTGTAAGTCCTAGCTGGCCACAATTTCTGCTCCAAAGGTAGCCCCCCAAGAGCATAAAGATCAAGCAACTGTCAACTGCAATAGAAATACTGAAATCATAACACGTAAATCTCAAAAAAGACATTTCCTTTCTGGGCATTGACATTTGGTGTACACAGATAATTCATTATGTATAAAATACTGTGCACAAAGTAACACTGGCACCACTGCTTTTGGGCCTGCTTTGCCTACCAGACTTTGAACTCCTGAAAGCAAGGATTCTATTTTATTTATCTTTGAATCCCCCATGGTTAGTACAGTATCTGGCATGTATTTGGTGATCTAAATTTATTTTTGATGAATTGATCTAAACTATTTTAGATGTCTCTCTCCAGCAAATGGGTACCAAGAGCTTTCAATAAATAACCCATTGTCCTCAACCTTATGAGAAATATAAAAATAAAACACAAGCTCATCATCCCTGTTCCCAAGGAACTCACAAAATGAGATAAAAATATATACACCTAAAATAATTAACACTAAAGCTGTTGACCAAGTGACAAATGGTGCCCAGACAAAAGTGTTGAAATCCAGAGAGGAGACTAGTATAGGCTGATACAGATTGGTAGGGA